AAATGTTAAAGGGACTTACCTAAGAAAAAGAAGATAAAAAAGATGAACAGTGAAAAGACAGCAAACTCACAGTTAGTAACAACCACACCTAAAAGAAAAGCAAACTAAGAGGACAGCTAGATCAGGAGCAGAACCATAGAAATGAAGATCACATGGAGGGTTAGCAAAAGGGGGGTGGGAGGAGGAAAAGGGGGGAGGAGGTAGAGAAAATAAGTAGCATAGACGGTAGGTAGGTAATAGATGGGGGGGCAAGAATAGTATGGGAAATACAGAATCTAAAGAACTTGAGACACATGGTCATAAACTAAAGGGGGGGAATGGTGGGGGCAGGGGGCGTGCAGGGTGGAGGGGAATGAAGGGGAATAGAACAAATGTAATGGCATAATCAATAAAATAAATTAAAAAATTGAGAAACAAAAAAAGTATATATATATGTAATAAGAAAGGCATCTCACCATTATCAAAAACAAATTAAGAGCTTTTCTGAAAAGCATGATAAGACTCAAGAACACAAGATGTAACTTTTGAAAAAGGCTTTCCAGTTTTTAACTATGAAGTTGTAATATGTACAGTATAGTGAATACAGCAGAATTCCTGAGGCAGTCCTCCAATAACCTAGAATTTTAAGTGCTGAGAAATGAATGCAGAGATACAGCCACTTTTTTAAACAATTAACCCTGGCTGAGGTGTTTCAGTGGATTGAGTGCCAACCTGTGAAACAAAGGGTTGCTGGTTTGATTCCCAGTCAGGGAACATGCCTGGGTTGCAGGCCAGGTTCCCGATGGGGGGCTTGTCAGAGGCCACCACACATTGATGTTTCTCTTTCTCTCTTTCTCCCTCCCTTCCCCTCTCTAAAAATAAATCAAATCTTTAAAAAAAATTAGTCATCATGTTCTATTAGTCTTCACTGGCCAAGGTGAAGAGAGAGGGAAGGTATTAAATCCTCTTCCTCTGGAAGAGAGAGGGAAGATAATGGAGAGTATTAAACACAGAATGCTGGTCAAATTTTGCTCTGTTGATTTTTGTTTCATTTATTTATTTCAAGATGTAATTTATATATAACATTGGAGAAGTTTTGAGGTGCAGGATTATGGATTTGGTATATTTCTATATTGCAATATTACCAGTGTAATGTTAGCTAACACCTCTATCTGGTTACATAATTATTTTTGTTTTAAGGTGAGAGCATGCTCCATAATATACAGTAAGTTTTCAGTGAATCAGATACAGTCTCATATTAATGTTTATGTTAAATTATTTTAACAGTCATTTTGGGGACATCAATTTTTTTGTGAATCTGTGCCACACATCTTAGGAGAATTATTATAGCATCTATGTAGTCACATAACTGGTTCGTAAACTGTAATGCTAAGCAGGCATATAATGATTGATGGGCATTTTTCCCCTCCCAAGGAAAGACTATGGAGTTACTAAAAAGTTATTTTAAAATAACCAGAAAGCAAGGAGATTATTTGGCTTTTGAAAGGGTTTTTCTTAAACCTGTGGTAAAAAATTGTAAGATGGGTAGATAGTAATTTTTGGACACAGTGTGTGACTGAGTAGTTGAGTGATGCTGACACTGGCCCGCAGTGTCTGAGTCATTATGGATGAAATGAGACATTCACATGGACTACTGAGTCCGGTGGAGAAAAAGGAGCAGCATGGCATTTCTCTCAAGGGGAGCAGAAGCCTTGGCCCTTGCCCTGACCAGCTTTTATTGCTTTTCTGGGCACATTACATGATGGTCCTCTTTTACTATGCACAGGTTGCTTTAGGTGGTTACCTTTTACAGAAAACAAAGGAGCCAGTGCCTCTAATTGCATCACAGAAGAGGGATATTTGCAAATGAAAACGGCAAAAGTGGTTGAACCAGTTATACTTGTCAAGGGTTAGCACAGATTTTAGGAAGTTAATTTGCAGTAAATGTTTGCCACAAATCCAGGTGAGGGAGTTTTTAGCAAAAAGCAAGACTCAGAGCGGCCTAGGTGTATTGCAGGCCTGGTTGCCTGATTCCCCATGGGAGAACCTATCCATGGGCGTGGGTCCTGTGCCTCTCCAATTGGCAGCTGGGCCCATGCCACGCAGAATGGTCTCCTACAGTTGAGTAGTTGTGTTGGCTTATTTAGATAATGCATTCATGCAGTTTAAATAAAAGGGTACAAAAGTCCTGGCTGGTGTAGCTCAGTGGATTGAGCGAGGGCCTACGAACCAGACAAGAACCAGACAATCACGGTTCCATTCCCAGTCAGGGCACATTCCTGGGTTGCAGGCCAGTTCCCTGCAGGCCAATTCCCAGCAGGGGACGCACGAAGGCAACCATACACTGATGTTTCTCTCCCTCTCTCTTTCCCTTCCCCTCTAAAGATAAATAAATAAAATAAAAAAAAAAAGGGTACAAAAGGATTTTTTAAGTGAAAGTCTTTATTTCTGCCTCTGTTCTCTGGCCACTAAGTTTACTTCCCTAGAGATAGCCATGGTTACCAGTGGATGGTGTGCAGTTCCAGAAGTACATTGTGCTCATACAAACAAAAATATGTACAGCAAATTTATTTATACATTTTCCCTTCCCTTTTGTACAATAGTAGTATATACATAGATTGCTCTGTTTCTCCCCTCTCCCCACTTAACTCACTATCTGGAGTTTAGTTGTATTTGAGCACATAAGAGCTTCCTCACCTTTATTCTTCATAGCTGCACAGGTAAAAGTTTAATGGGAAAAGAGGCTTTTAATGTTGTGGATAATTGGGAGTTGAGTATATTGTAGTATTTTAAATCAAATTTGCCAGTGTGATCTGCATAGACTGAAATTTGAGAAGTAGAATTTAGAGTAGCCTCTGACATGAAGATAAAATGCTTGTTTTTATAGTGGATGATAGCAAATATGGAAGAGATTCTTAACCACAGAAATAGAATAGCTGTCAGATATCAAGGCATATAATGATAGACAACATGTATCGAGTGATTACTGTGTGCCATACACACTGCTTATCTCTGTATACTGAACTTGTTTGAGCGATACAACAATATCTTGAGACTAGTGGTGGTGTAATCCTTATCTTTCACACTGGAGAAAGTGAGGTTTTTGGTGGACAGTTATTTGCACAAGGCCATACAGAATAATTGGAGATTTATGCATTTCTGTAAGCAACATCATCTTTTACTGTCTACTACAGTATTAACTTGCTTTATAGCAGAGGAAGTGCTGGAAAGATTTGATCTGTGAAGTTACTTTTGAATTTTAAAGGAAGTAATGATATATATTTAACCCAAATAGATTTGTTTAAAATTTTTTTATTGACCGATTTTTAGGGAGAGGAGGAGAGAAACATCAATTTCCTGTTTTACTTATTTATGTTGGTTGGTTATTTTATGTGCCCCAACTGGGGATTATAAACCCTCAGCCTTGGAATATTGGGATGATGCTCTAATCAGCTGAGATCTAGCCAGAGCTAACAAAGAGAAATTTTGTATTGGTAATTTGTGATTTTCAGAAGACCTATTCTTTGTATATGCTCTAATAAAAGATTAATGATAATCTGAAAAGTCTGTATAGTAAATTGAGTTAACAAATGTGGTTTTTTATATTTGATAAATTTTCCACTCAAAGTTAAAATTTCTCTTAAATTTTATGACATCTAATATTGAATATATGTATATTTTGTTCAGTACGATTCGTCAAAAATAGAAATAACCACTTTGAGTATTTTTTAATAAAGTGTTGTGATTCATAAAGAAACCTTAAGAGTTCATTTCCTTAATCTTACTTTTGGTTAAAATCATTTCTGACATATATGTATCTCTTTTTAAAAATGAGAAGACTAATCCATGTCTTTATATATATATATATATATATATATAAAGACATATATATATATGTATATATATATGTATATATATATGTGTATGTATATAACTGTCAAAAAGTTCATATATCTGGGTTAGAGCCTTTGTATTTAATATTACAATTTAAATTTTTTTTCCACTTTCAAAAAGGAATTTTCATTTTCAAAACTTTTTGGTAAGGTTTTAACAATTATATAATTATTTATCCAATGTTGCCACCAATAGGATATTTTAATTCTAGTGTTAGAATGCCCAGGGGTTCAATCTAATGCCTATGTTGTTGTTGTTGTTGTTATTTTTACTTATTGCCTTCTTACCCCTGAAATACTAATTTCATGATTTTTAAATTTTAATCACTGCTCTATCACCAATACTGAGAACAGTGCCTGCCACAAAGGAGGTGCTTTAAAAAAATAAAAAATTTTATTCATTCATTCATTCATTTATACAGAGAGCGGAAGGGAGGGAGAAAGAGGGAAAACTTCGATATGCGAGAGACACATTGATTGGTTGCCTCTCACACACCCCCAACTGGGTACCTGGTCTGCAAACCAGGCATGTACCTTGACCTGGAGAATCGAACTGGCGACCTTTGGTTTGCAGATGGGCAGTCAGTCCATTGAGCCACACCAGCTAGGGCAGTAGGTGCTTTTTAGATGTTTGTGGAGTGAATGAATATTGAAGTAATCACTAGTTACTTTTGAAAATATTTGTAAATACTGCTTTAGTTTTTTAAAATGTATTTTTGCTGCTGCTTGAATACAGTACACATTACTGTAGAATCAGTTTATAGTCTTCAGAGTGCTTTATGAGTTGACTGCTGATAGTAGAACTGAGTCTGTGCTGGTCATTGAGATTAGGAAAGATATTTGCTATGGGGACTGTATTTAGAATGGATAGAGTATGTTACTTTTACTCAAGGCTGTACAGTTTTGTTTATCTCTGGAAGTGTTCCTTGAAGTTATTTTGAACCTAGGTCTAGGGAAAACTATAGCTGCTGTCTGAGATATTTGGTATTAGATTTTTTTGGTTGTAAAAAGATAGAAATCATGCTGATTGGGTTTTAAAATTGTTGCTGAATTGATTTTTATTTATAAAATGATTTTGAGAACTGTTTGCATTGATCAAAGTATAACAAAGTACACTTTTGTTTCTAGGTGAAAAATTTAGAGAACTAATGGATAAGTTCCTGAGGGCCAACTTCAGTAAAGGCTGCCCACCCTTGTTTACTACTTTGAAATCTTTATATTACAATACAGAAAAGGTAAATTTTGGTCTTCATTCAGTTTTGCTGTAGTCTTTTTACTAAATTGTTTAGAAAGATTTCCAAGTAAATAATAAGCTATGGTTTAATAATTTTCTGTTTTAATAATGTTATTCACTTGAAATTATGTGCATGTGGTGTAAGTTCTATCAAGAGGAATGTCAATTTGAAGTTTACAGAGTAAAGGCTTTATAAAAGCACTGTAAAGATTAAAGATTGTTGTTATTTTTAATGGCTATACTTTTATGTGAATTTGACATATTGTCACCAGAGTTCTATATTTAACTATTTTGTGATTAATCATTTATTATTTTTATAGTATGATTGTGGACTTTCTAACTTGTTATGTATGCTTTTAAAATTAGAGAGCATGAATAATTGAGTTAGTACAACAGTAAAATGCCATTTCATACTATTGGTTTTAACTTGTAAGGCTACATTTTAATAAATACAACTTAGGTAGTTCTTGAATAAAGAGGATAATACTTTTCTGCTTTTTTCAATGAGAAAAGAGGCACTTGGTCTTAAATTAGAAAGATGATTAGAAAATTAAAACAATACAAGGTAAGTTGTAATTCTATTTCAAATCATTGCTTCTTATTTAGGTTCTAAAATTTTGTTTTCTGTAGCTAAGAGTTTTTGAAAGTTACTGGTGTATGAGAAAAAGATTTCATGATGCTTTTAGTTAACCCTGTGTCATTTTATTTAGCTTCAACCCATATTATTTGTGAATAATAAACTATTGAAAACAAGGTCAATAATAGGTATAACTTATTGGCACTTTCTTCTTCATGGCAGTAGGTTTCATGAACTAAAAGTGACAATTGATTGTATCTAGTACTCATTAGTAGAAATTGTCATTTACATCTAAGAAATTATATTTCTTTAATATCTGTAGTATGCTTTATTTAACTGTAATGGTACTGTTGATTTTTAGTAAGTAGAGATTGATTCTTAGGAAAACATGTAGTAGTCACTACCAAAAATTTCTGTGGGTTATTTAAAATTACTTTTGCCATATTTCCTTTGGCAAATGTGACAGGAAAGAAAGGTGAGATGGAAAGTCAGAAATAATAAATAACTTTTTTTTTGCATTAAAAAAAATTTATTTAGTTATTTTTCATTTACAGTTTTCTATTTCTCCCATCCCAGCCCCCCCTGCCCCATGCTTCCCACCTCCCTCCCATTTCCACCCCCCTTAGTTCTTGTCCTTGTGTCCTTCATACTTGTTCCTCTAAATCCCTCCCCTTTTTTCCCCTTAAATTCCCTCCCCTCTCCCCTCTGGTCACTGTCCCCTTGTTCTCTATTTCAGTGTCTTTTTTTTTTTAATTCTGCTTGCTTGTTTGTTTTGTTGTTTAGCTTCCTGTTAAAGGTGAGATCATAGGGTATTTGTCTTTCAACACCTGGCCTATTTCACTCAGCATAATGCTTTCCAGTTCCATCCATGTTGTTGCAAAGGGTAGGAGCTCCTTCTTTCTCTCTGCTGCATAGAATTCCATTGTGTATATGTACCACAAGTTTTTGATCCATTCATTTACTGATGGGCACCTAGGTTGCTTCCAACTCTTGGTTATTGTAAATTGTGCTGCTATGAACATTGTGGTGCATAGGTTCTTTGAGATTGATGTTTTAGGATTCTTGGGATATAATCCTAGCAGTGGAATTGCTGGGTCAAAAGGCAGGTCGATTTTTACTTTTCTGAGAAAATTCCATACTGTTCTCCATAATGGTTGTACCAGTCTGCAATCCCACCAACAGTGAACTAAGGACCCCTTTTCCCCACACCCTCTCCAACATTTGTTGTTTATTGCTTTGTTTATGATAGCCATCCTGACTGGTATAAAGTGGTATCTCATTGTGGTTTTAATTTGCATCTCTCTGATGGCTAGCAATATTGAGCATCTTTTCATATGTCTCTGGATCCTCTGTATGTCCTCCTCAGAGAAGTGTCTGTTCAAGTCCTTTGCCCATTTTTTAATTGGGTTATTTGTCTTTACTTAGAGCCGTGTAAGTTCTTTGTATATTTTGGAGATTAAACCTTTGTCTGAGGTATCATTGGCAAATATATTTTCCCATACACTTGGTTGTCTTTTTAATTTAATACTGTTTTCTTTAGCCATGCAGAAGCATTTTATTTTGATGAGATCCCATTTGTTTATTCTTTCCTTTATATTCCTTGCTCTAGGGGACATATCAGTAAAAATGTTGCTGTGTGAAATGTCTGAGATTTTCCTGCCTATGTTCTCCTCTAGGACTTTAATGGTGTCACGGCTTATATTTAAGTCTTTTATCCACCTTGAATTTATTTTGGTGTATGGTGTAAGTCGGTGCTCAATTTTTATTTTCTTGCACGTAGCTGTCCCGTTCTCCCAACACTATTTGTTGAAGAGGCTATCTTTACTCCATTTTATGTTACTGCCCCCTTTGTAGAATATTAATTGACTATAGAGAGTTGGGTTGATTTCTGGGCTCTCTGTTCTGTTCCATTGGTCTATGTGCCTGTTTTTATGCCAGTACCAGGCTGTTTTGATTACAGAGGCCTTGGAATACAGTTTGATATCAGGTATTGTGATCCCTCCTTCTTTGTTCTTCTTTCTTAAAATTGCAGCTGATATTTGGGGTTGTTTATGGTTCCATATAAATTTTTGAAGTGTTTGTTCTATGTCTGTGAAATATGCCATTCGTACTTTAATAGATATTGCATTGAATCTGTAAATTGCTTTGGGTAGTATGGACATTTTGATGATGTTAATTATTCCAATCCATGGACACGGTATATGTTTCCATTTGTTTGTATCTTCCTTGATTTCTTTCTTCAGTGCTGTGTAGTTTTCTGCATACAGGTCTTTTACCTCCTTGGTTAGGTTTATTCCCAGATATTTTATTTTTGTTTTTGCTCTATCAAATGGGATTTTTTTCCTTGATTTCTGTTACTTCTGCTGTTTCGTTGTTGGTATACAAAAATGCCTTTGATTTCTGGATATTGACTTTGTAACCTGCTGTTTTGCCAAATTCATTAATTAGTTTGAGCAGTTTTTTGGTAGAGTCTATAGGATTTTCCATGTACAGTATCATGTCATCTGCAAACAGTGACAATTTTGTTTCCTTCTTTCCGATTTGGATGCCTTTTATTTCTTTTTCTTGTCTGATCGCTGTGGCTAAAACTTCCAATACTATATTGAGTAGCAGTGGTGAGAGTGGACATCCTTGTCTTGTTCCTGATCTTAGTGGAAAAGCTTTTAGTTTTTGCCCTAAGTTTTAGTTTTTGTTGAGTATGATGTTGGCTGTAGGTCTTTCATATATGGCCTTTATTATATTGAGGAATGCTCCCTCTATTCCCAATTTGCTGAGTATTTTTTATTATAAATGGGTGTTGTACCTTATCAAAAGCTTTTTCCTTGTCTATTGATATGATCATGTGGTTTGTGTCTTTGCTTTTGTTTATGTGGTGTATTACATTTACTGATTTGCAAATATTGAACCATCCTTGCATCCCTGGGATGAATTGCACTTGGTCATAGTGTATGATATTATCTATATATTATTGGATGCGATTTGGCAATATTTTGTTGAGGATTTTAGCGTCTATGTTCATCAGCGATATTGGCCTGAGTTTCCTTTCTTTGTTGTGTTTCTGTCTGGTTTTAGAATTAGGATGATGCTGGCTTCATAAAAAGAGTTTGGAAGTTTTCCATCATTTTGGATTTTTTTGAATAGTCTGTAAAGAATAGGGGTTAGCTCTTCCTTAAATGCTTTGTAGAATAGTCCTGTGAACCCATCTGGCCCAGGGCTTTTGTGTGATGGGAGCTTTTTGATTACTGCTTCAATTTCATTTGCTGTTATTGGTTTCTTCAGGTTTTCTGCTTCTTTTTCACTGAGTTTTGGAAGATTATATGTTTCTAGAAATGTGTCCATTTCCCTTAGGTTCTCAAATTTTCTGGCATACACTTCTTCATAGTAATTTCTTACAGTCCTTTCTATTTCTGTGGTATCAGTTGTAATCTCTCCTCTTTCATTTCTCATTGTGTTTATATGTGTCCTCTGTCTTCTTTTCTTGATGAGCCTACTTACAGGCTTGTCTATTTTGTTTATCTTTTCAAAGAACCAACTCCTGGATTCATTGATTCGTAGAATTGTCCTTTTAGTCTCTATGTCATTTAGTTCTGCTCTGATCTTGGTTATTTCCTTTCTTCTACTTGCTCTGGGCTGTCTTTGTTGCTGTTCCTCGAGTTCTTGCAGGCGTAGGGTTAGGTTGTTTGTTTGAAACTTTTCTATCTTGTTTAGGTAGGCCTGTATTGCTATGAACTTCCCTCTCAGGACTGCCTTCGCTGTGTCCCGTAAGTTTTGGGTTGTTGTGAGTTCATTTTCATTTGTTTCCAGAAACTTTTTGATTTCTTCCCCAATTTCATTCTTGACCCATTCGTTATTTAATAGCATACCATTCAGTCTCCATGATTTTGGGTGTTTTGGGTTTTTTCCTTTGGGGTTGTTTTCCAGTTTCAGTCCCTTGTGGTCAGAGAAGATGCTTGGTATGATTTCAATTTTCTTGAATGTGTTGAGCCTCGTTTTGTCTCCTATCATGTGGTCCGTCTTTGAAAATGTTCCATGTGCATTTGAAAAGAATGTGTATTTAGCTTCTTTGGGATGAAGGGCTCTGTATATATCAGTTAAGTCCATTTCATCTAGGGTGTTGTTTAATGCCACAATATCTTTGTTGATATTTTGTTTGGAAGATCTGTCCATTTTTCACAATGGGGTGTTAAAATCCCCTACTATAATTGTGTTGCTGTCAATATCATTCTTGAAGTCCTATTTGGGTGCTCCTATGTTGAGTGAATATATATTTACGATGTTAATGTCTTCTTGGTGGATTCTTCCCTTGAGTATTATGAAGTGAGTTTCTGGGTCTCTCTTTATAGCCCTTTCTTTGAAGTCTATTTTGTCTGATATGAGAATTGCTACCCCAGCTTTTTTTTTTTTCTTGTACATTTGCTTGGAAA